GGGGACCTGGGAAGTGCTCCCAGACCCTGGGGGGAACTATGTGCCCGGTCTGTTTATGACTGATTATGCATGACCAAGGACACACCCTGGTGTAAGCTTCCTGTATTAATATTGTTCTTCCATCCGTCATTCGATAACTTAGGCTTAACCTCACGAGCTGGACGTTACTCGGCCGGAGGGCACACTCCAGCAGCCGCTATTTCAGAAGCCTTTCAACCATCAGTATTTGCACACCTCGGGCTAACACGCATGTCTGTTTCAGGGCTCGACACCGTGCATAGAGCAAGCAGGATCCTTTTGGTGGGTTTGTGGGCAAGACACAAGCACCCAGAGCCTCTCTCAAATGTCAAAAAATTGTTTGCTTGTCACCCACTGCTTCCTATTAACGCATATCTGATTGTGTTGGGTGGGACGAGACACCGATGAACAGCTTCTGCAGCTCAGCCCTCGGTGGCTTCTTGATTTCCAGCTGCAGACAAGCAGCACTGCAGTAAACACCATGCAATGCGGCTAGCCAAGTCCCCTGATTGTTTTCGCACCGGGGAGCTGTTGGCAGCCAATTCTGTCATCTCTTCTGGACACTTCCCGCTGTGTCCCACCTGGGCTGGGTGCTGAAGGTCACAGACGGCAGATCAATGGCAGCAAAGCTGTTCCTAGGTCCCGTGTCACTGCACCTTCTGGCTGAAGGCTCGCTGGAGTTCAGTTCTGCATGCCAGATTGGTTCTGCAGCCAAACTCTCCCAGCCGGAAGGCCTCTTCTCTCACCCCTCACAAGATCCCACCTACATGCTGGGGGAGCCCGTTATATTGAGTATGAAATGCCACATTAAATAGGAGCTAATATTTAAATATAAAAATGTGCATGGTAAGTGGGAATTGTTAAGCTATGCTTGATTCGATTCTCATCCCCCTCAAATTCCATAGGTAAGAAACCACCCTGGTTCAGAGGAAAGATGAAGGGTGAAATATGTAATTTTAAAAAATATTTTTTATCTAATGGAAAAAAACTGAAAAGATAGCCAGGAGTCTTTTCCCAACTCAGGAGTTGGGAAATGCAGACAACTGATAAAGGAAGCTAGAACTCTCGGCCAACAGAGTAAAGGATAACTAAAAGGAATTCTTCAAATGTATCCGCAACAAAGTTTAGCAGTGGCATAGATCCCTTCTAAATAAAGATGACACGCTTTGGTGAGACAGGGACTGGACTATGACACCGCACTCTGGTGTCCACGCTTCAACAGAGCCACGGGCGAATGGGAAACGGTTCAGAGGAGAGCCACAAATATGAACAGAGAGCAGGAAAACAATCCGTGGGGGGGAGAGAACAACAAAGCTCGGTCTATATAGTGTACCTGAGACATTACCTTGGTGCACAAGGACTGAAGGAGCCAGACCACGATCCAACGATGCGGAGGGAAAGCTAGACACATTCTGACTAGACATAGGGAGACACATTTTCAACAGTGAGTGTGCTCTGCCATTGGAACCACTTCCTACTGAGGGGTCAAGTCCCTACCTCTTGACATCTTTAACTGGATGCCTTTTAAAGTCTAGCCTCTAATTGGGTCAGAAGTTAGGGGATTGGCACAGGGGTTCCTGTCTCCGGCCTGTGAAATGCAGGATCATGCTAGGTTATCGTAATGGTCTCTTCTGGCCTTAACAGCTGTGCCTATCTTGGTATCCTCACCATAGCTAACGCCTGGTTTGCTCGTGTAGTGGGCACGGGGGCCAGGACCAGTGTCTACACGGTGCTGGGGGTAACTCATGGGGCCTGACCAAGTTGCAACTAGGTCATCCAATAGTGCAGAATGTATTACTCTGACACAGGACTCTTCCTCCTCTGGGGTCGTCTACCTACCTACCCTGGACAGAGGCCAGGAGATACGACTGCACGTTCCCAGCAGAGGACACTTGGATCACACTTTGGAAAGAGCCGTGCCGGGAAAGCAGAGCTGTCCTATTTCTGATGCAGCCCCCACGCACTGGTATCTGACTCTGTGGCAAGCACCACCGGTAAGGTTTTGTTTCATAATCACAGGGGTTTTAACACTTCGCTTCGCTTCCTGAGCTGCCGATCAGCGAGGCACATTCAGCTTAGCAGAAGTGACGTGTTTACAGGGGATGTGACCCCCTGAATCAGCGGCCCTCCAGGAAAACCTTCCCCTGGCACACACTTGACTCAACTGTGAAGCCCTTTTAACCAACAGCAGGAGCATTTTGCTTTCCCCTAGCACCTTCCCTGGTGAGAGCATCGAGCCCCTCCCTAGCACTGCTCCCAGGCAGTTAGCTTAATGTTATCCCTGGTTTAGAGAGGGAAACAGAGGCAGAGAAAAGTGCAATGTCTACCCAAGGTCATGCACCAAGCAAGTGGCCAAGCCATGACTAAATCCCAGAGCTGGACTAGTGACCAGTGCGCACACGCACCCCACAGCTGCCGTACACTAGCCTTGCCCCCCAGGGGAGTCAGCTGCCCTACACTAGCCTTGCCCCCCAGGGGAGTCAGCTGCCCTACACTAGCCTTGCCCCCCAGGGGAGTCAGCTGCCGTACACTAGCCTTGCCCCCAGGGGAGTCCTCACCCCCAAGACGCACGCCCCACAGCTGCCGTACACTAGCCTTGCCCCCAGGGGAGTCAGCTGCCGTACACTAGCCTTGCCCCCCAGGGGAGTCCTCACCCCCAAGACGCTGGCCCCTGCTGTGAGCAGTGAAGTTACAGGCAGCTGAATGGTGCCCCCTCCATAGTGCTCACCCAGCAGGCCCTCTCCCTTCTCTTCCCCTGGGGGCTCCCTCGAGGCAAAGGCCTGGATCAGCTCCCAGGAGCTGCAGCCTCTTTGCAGAAGGCTGTCCCGAAGCCACGGGCTCGGGCAAGGCGACATGCAGAGCCACGCGGGCAGGTAGATCGGCAGGGGTCTCTGCCGCCCAGTACAACTCAGGCTTTGGGGGGGCTCTCAGCTCCTACAAGAGCAGGACACTTTCCAAGGTCTTGGCCCCTAGAACGAAGTGTGGGAGGAGCGAAGGGTTTGCTGGTTTTATCTAATAAACTGCTCCAAACAGCTTGCCTGCTAGCCACAGAATGGCACAATGAGCAGTGGGAGCCAGAGCTTAGAGGGTCTCTAAATCCCCCCTCTAGCCATGCAAACACGACAGATTACAATGCTTAATTATGGAGCATCGCCCAGGGCATCCACCAGACAAGGAACCTCTGCTGGTATTCTGGGGTTTTTAAAGCAGGCGGTAGGGAAACTCCCGAAGGCATCACTCAACCTGCACCGCCCTTCAGCGAGGCAGAGGGTTTAAGCCAATCCCAGGCACTAGGAATCCTCCCAGTTTCTCTCGAGCTGGAAGGACACCTGTCACTTCATTACCCTGCCCTGAGGAGCTGACACAGACTGAAACTCGGGGTTTGAAGATGAGAGAGATTCTCCTTGATGCTCTGCCCACAGCGTTCTGTGGTCTGGACGCCACCCTGCAAGTGTTCCAAGCCAAGTGGAACATATTTATACTCAGCCCAGCGAAACAGATATTACTCTGTTCCATGTTATTGCACCTTGCCCAGAGAAATCAGCAGAACCCAGTGCAAAGTCAGCTGCTGTTTCAGATTTTCTCGGCTCCGTGCACAGCAACGCCCACTGCCTGGAGGACTGGCTTCTTACCTTCTGAGATTGTCAATATTTCTGCACGGAGGGTGGAAATTGGATACTTGGGTCTAAATGTCAGATGCCTGAAATACACAGCTGGAGCGTGCAGATGGTTGTGGATGGAGAAAGATACTGCCCGCAGCACACTTTCCCATGCTGTACATGCACAGCAATACATCACTTGCTGCCATCTGGTGCCTGCCAAATGGGATTCGCCTTCTTCTTCTACCTGCAATTAGCCTTTCAGAAGTGGGGAATTCCTTCCTTCCTTCCTGAATGCGAGCTGGAAACAGCTTCAGGTCTGAATCATACGACCCCCCTACATGCAGACACGAGTGATGGCATTAACACGGGCCAGTCCTTTTACTGGATAGCACAGCAGTGTCTGTACTGCTGCCCGGTGCATTTCAGTGGTTGGAACGGTACCTTCACAGCGCCAAAAACCCACCGCAGCAGTTAAATGACTCAGGCTCATGCTAGAGGGTTAAAAGGAGCCCTGCTCAGGTGGCGGGCTGGGCTCTGAAACCTAGTGGGGGGAGGGGAGTTTCAGAGTACAGGCTCCAGCCCAAGTGGAAGCCTCTACCCAGTTATTTTGAGCCCCATGAGCCCAAGTGAACTGACCCTAGCTCTTAGTTTAGTGCTGTGTTTGGTTTTAAGTGTCCTCACTGCTCCTCTAGTTTCCAGACTAAATCCTGGGAAATGTTTGCTCTCCATTCATTTCCTCTGAGAAGCTCTGCACCTCCTCTGATCCTCCTTGATGCTGCATATGAAGACAGGAAACACGCTCGTTTTACAGATGGGTAAACTGAGGGATGATGTGACTACCTGGCTTTCCCAGCTCAGCCAGGAATAAAACACCAATCTCTGAGTCCCAGGCCACTGCTCTAGGCACCAGGCCACAGTATCTGCAAACAGAGTGCTGAGCTGGCTCCCTTTACAAAAGGGGCTTGCTGGGTCACAGGTGTCAAAGATGCTCAACCCCCCACATTAGCCCTAATAACCCCAAACCCTGTATGCTTGAAAAAGAAGTGGGAAAAAAAACACACGAAGGCACCACCCTGAACGTGGAAGGAGTCTAGGGGTGGTGAGATGCAGGTCAGACGAGGTGATTAACGGTCCCTTACATAGGCAGCCAGGTGGGACACCTCTAATTTTCTTTGCTCTGGGCCACACCAGAGGCTTGGGGTCGCTGGTTAGTCGTGGGGTGAGCATCTCCCCACAGCCTGCAGGGGGCGCCGTCAGATGGCTGCATTGGCCTGTGCCTGAGCGTTAACTTTACGGGCCCCATTCTGTCCCCGTGGCTCTCACCGAGCTGCTCCATCCCTCAGTTGGGCTG